GTCAAATTATATTTATCTATCTACCTCTCTATCTATGTATCTATCTATATAATCCTTAGACCAAACAAACATTTATTTATCAACGAATGACATACCTATGTTTTTTCTAATCAAACATAAGATGTTTGGATGCTAGCTCAGTGGTCTATCAGTTAAGGGCTTCGGCTCGAGACCGGTAGGACCTGGGTTCGAATCTCATGAGAGCGGGTTCGTGGATGCGCACTGCTGAGGAGTCCCATAATAGGACAAAACAGCCGTCCAGTGCTTCCAGGTTTTCCATGGTGGTCTAGCTTCAATTGACTCACGCTTTCAACTATGATAAATACTGAAATCTCCACAAAACCCTTTCTATAATTTATACAATCATATGCTCACTAGTGACTTCGAGAAGTATATCTAGGAGCTCTATTGAGAAGCAGTGACCAGTGGAGTTCAAAACCACGTCTGTTGTGAGATAGGAACTCACTGAAGACAATTGGTGAATGGTTGCTCAACTTCGTGGATCAGTTGAAGTTAGACATTAACACCGTTGGATGCCAGCTCAGTGGTCTGTCGGTTAAGGACTTCGGCTCGAGACTGGTAGGTCCTGCGTTCGAATCTCGCGAGAGCGGGTTCGTGGATGCGCATTGCTGAGGTTCCAGGTTTTCCATGGTGGTCTAGCTTCAATTGACTCACGCTTTCAACTATAATAAATACTAAATCTCCACAAAACCCTCTCTATAATTAATACTAAATGTGTCTATTAGATCAATAGTTTAATAAATATATAATTTTTATTAATATATATATATCTTCAGAATTGAACAAAATATTTGTTTAAATATCTCAATATCATATAATGTTTTGTCTAGGTCAATATTTAGTTAAGATTAATAGTTATAGATTTATTATATAGATTTTATACTATTTGATGCATGAGTTCAACTGATGAACACTGTGATAAGAAAAAACAAACATAACCCTTGAACTTAATTACTAGTTACTATTAAACAGAATTTCTGTTAAGTTTGAATTCTTTGATTGTTGAAGACTTATCATAACTTCGTATTAAATTTTTGTGTATTTGGTGCAATTCATTTAGAAGTTTGTTATTTAAATTCCAGATTATTTATATTTATTAATAAGTGTTACCCTTTCTCTTTTCTCCTGGTGATGGACTGAATTGTGGAGACGTCAACATCTGGAGGAATGCACGGGATACAGTGGACAGGCAGTATGCAGCTTGACGATTTAGACTTTGCGGATGATCTGGCTCTTCTATCACAAACGCAACAACAAATGCAGGAGAAAACGACCAGTGTAGCAGCAGCCTCAGCAGCAGTAGGTCTCAATATAAACAAAGGGAAAAGCAAGACTCTCCGATACAATACAATATGCACCAATCAAATTGCACTTGACGGAGAAGCTTTGAAGGATGTGGAAACCTTTACATATCTGGACAGCATCATTGATGAACACGGTGGATCTGATGCAGATGTGAAGGTGCGAATCGGCAAAGCAATAGCAGCATATTTACAACTGAAGAACATCTGGAACTCAGAACAATTGTCAACCAACACCAAGGTTAGAATTTTCAACACAAATGTCAAGACAGTTCCACTGTATGTGGCGGAAACCTGGAGAACTACGAAAGCCATCATCCAGAAGAGGCGGGTGTTTATTAACAGTTGTCTATGCAAGATACTTCAGATCCGTTGGTCAGACACTGTCAGCAACAACATACTTTGGGAGAGGGCAAACCAGATTTCCGTGGAGGAAGAAATCAGGAAGAAGCGCCGGAAGCGGATAGGACACACATTGAGGAAGTCACCCAACTGCGTCACAAGGCAAGCCTTCACATGAAGTCCTGAAGGCTAAAGGAAAAGAAGAAGACCAAAAAACACATTGCGCCGATAAATGGAGATGGGAATGGGAAGAATGAACAAAGATTAGATAGAACTAGAAAGGATAGCCTAGGATAGAGTGGGTCTGAGAATGCTGGTGGGCAGCCTATTCTCCATTGGGGGTAACAGGCATAAGTAGGTAAGTAAGTCAAACTCTAATTGAATGATTACCGGTTTCATTATCAAGATTAGTTTGATCCCAGAAACTTAGAATATCAAAGTCACAGATAAATCTATAACTGCCTTTATTTTCTTCGCCTAAACTGAATTAGGATGTTTAGCTTTTTTCATATTTTCCTCTTTTTTGTATTTGTTCTGGAATATAAATGTAAGATATTTGTTGTGAACTACAAGAATGTTAAAGTCCCTTGCAAGAGTTGAGGTACCAAACTTACCAGTCTCATACTTTATTCTCATGACTGTACCTGACTGTCGAAATAATAAAACTCTTACAATTACTCTTCGCCCCTCCTACTTTCCGATAAGAGACTTGATCAAGAGGAAATCCCAGTCTTAAAAACCGTGTCTGTTGTGAAGCGGTTACCCACCGAAGGATATGGAAAGCGGTTACGTAAAATTGTGGATTGGTTGAAGTTAGGCATTAATAATTTTGGACGCCAGCTTAGTGGTTAAACGTTGGCGCGCGAGCCCAAATGTCTTGGGTCCGAATGTCACTTACGGATTTTTGGATGCGCACTGCTAATGGGTCTCATACTAGGAAGAAATGGCCATGCAGTGCTTCCAGGTCTCCAATGGCTTTCTAACATTGGTTGGTTTATAATCTCAATTAAAAATGTAATTCATTTACTGTATCAGGTGGAAATATTGTCCGGTGTGAATACTAAAATATAGAAAATACTGAGGAGTAAAGCACCGAAAATCTTACTGCCACCAGTTTATGTATGTCAGCTTCATGAGAGTTCTAACTTTTGATTAATCTAATTTATTAACATTAGTTTGTGAAGAGATGGTCCATTGTGAACAACACTAAATAGAGATTTAAAGAATACGCCAAATTAGTTACATAGTACTAGGAAAAAGTTAGTAGTATATCTAAACAGACATTTTTATTCAGACAACTTAAAGTTGTCCAAGTATGTCATTTCAGATAATTATTCTTAATTCACTAGCAACACAGTCGTAAGTGAGTGGTTAAACACTAAGCAAAATTTAAAATATAAATCAGATGAAAAATATTGTGTAAATTAGGTAAATTCTCAGGTTTCTCAGCTAATGCTTATTATTCAGATCTTTTTATTGGTATCGACTGGCTTGGATTCTAATATTCAATTTTGTTTTCTTTATTATTCACGTATTATAGACGGAATATTTTTCGCCTCAACATTTCCCTCTTAAATAGATTTTCGGGTTAAAATCAACATTGGAGCATCTTGGAATCAAGTGTTGACTAAGCTAACTAATAAAGGTAACGGACAAAAAAGCCTTGTTGGACTCTAATGTCAATATTTATCGACAACTCGTATTTGCGATCTTGGAGAAACGGATGCTGTATTACATACGCAAGTTTTTATCATTAATCGGGTCATACATAATATGAATGAACGACTTGAAATCTAAATTATTTGTTTTCCAATCGAGACAATCAGTTATATGGATCTGAATCATTACGAAAGAATCTATCTTTGATGATCTCGATAATGAAAACCTAAACTGGTCAGGATTACTCAGTATTATGTTTAAGACGAACTAAATAGCAATTCTTCATTTTATTTTCTTGTTTACTTATCACTGATTACTGTTAGAATACTAGATTTAGTTTGAACAAAAATCAGAATAGACTACATCTTAGTTTTGCCTCTGGTATTGTATGTATATAATCATAAACTAATTGCTAATTTTAGAGAGCTTATTATTAGTCACCTTAAAATATGTAGCTTTCATGATGCTTTATCATAATTACTTGCTTGCTCCCGCTAAAGACGGAGTTTTATCGTAATATTTTGATACTCATTAGTGTTACATGTATTCTCGACGTTCAGTTTGCTTTATTACTATAACAGTTCCCTCTAAAGTCTGAAGAAGTTCATCTTCATTTCTTACATTGTTCATTGAAATTCTGTTTAGTTGTAACAACTAAATTTCATGTCCCATGACCCGCTTTTCAATTTGTTGACTGACACTAGTTATTTAACATAGTCCTGCCTAGTTACTTAACCGATGGTACATTTTCTCAATTATTTCATATAATTGATGAAAGGCTTACCTTCTTGATTGTGACTCGAAGCATTTTAAAAAAACACCTTAGATATCTGACAGTTTAGAGCTTATAAACATTGATTTGTATATAGTCTTTTATTAATGGTATCGCTTTTTGTGAACGAATATTTTGTTTTGACTTTGAAATTTTACGCTCCACCTAGAAGTTTGGTTGGAATCCTTGAACTTATTCTATACTATAAAACTTAGCTGGACTACTGAAATGTGAATAAATTTTCGTTTGATTTCAGTTTTATTAATTTAAATTAGAAATTACAGAAATGACAATACTTAATGAACAAAGGAGGAAATAGTAACCATAAACAGTGATCAACACATTGATGATCAGTAATGTGTATTCAACTTCAACTTAGACTTAATAATATAATTTGATTAAGCAGATACGTGAATATGTGTAAGTGAAGATAATGTTTTTGGTTAGTTCATGTATCATAATTTATTGGATAGGACGACAATTTGGGCGGGACTATAATTAATGGATAAACTAATCCTATATACTAACGGATTTTCGCACGAAATTCATTTATCTATATGATAAAATAGAATTTTAGAATTACAGCTGATGTTAGTTTATGATGAACATTTTGACTGTAATTTCAAAACCCTAACTTTTTAACTCTAAATTCTAATCTTGATTTCCCACACTGATTAATAAATAACCCTAGTAATTGGTTAGATTTTTTTCAAAGTCACCATGATATAGCTCAAAAGCTGTTTTTAAATTACAATCTCTCCTTCATCACTTGTAGTTTGCCGTGTTGGTTCACGTTATTTATACTAACTGTATTAATTTATATTTTGAAAACAAACAAAAAATGGACGATAACATACAGTCTACCTGTTTTAAATAGTCTTGCCCAGACTATGTATGATAATTTGGCGACTTTTTTTTAGAAAATATATATGTTGGCAAACTGTTTCCTACGTAGCTGTTTAAAGCTCACTATATCTGAACTCCACGAGTCATAATTTTTCACTAGAACTACGGGGATTAACTAACGAAATTAATCACTGGTGAGCACATGGCTATTATTATTATTATCGGTTTGCAGAGATTGTTGAGTTCGATGAGCACAGCTGATAAGCTTCATACTGAGACGAAACAGCTATCCAATACTTTCCAGTTGAATTTTATTGTCATATCAACTACTTATGCATTAACAGTGGAAAACAACAAGCTCTGTGAACGGGGAAGTGAAATATTAAATAAATGACTACAATCGTAGTAAAGAACCAAGTAAATATACAGTATTAGAAGTTTATTTCGATTGCATAAAAGATTAATACAAATCAAATTCAGAATTCATCCAATTTGTATTGTCAATTGGTTCATGAATTATAATGTGTTCTGGATTAACGTGCTTATGTGTATTTTGGAGGGAATTATGATTATGCAATACAAGTGTAGAATTGAAATTATCTTCATTATTTTTAAGCCGATTATTAGGGATTGATTTATGCTCTTGAATTGGAAAATCTTTATTACATAACTCATGGTTATGTACTTTATCTAAACCATTTACCATAAGATAATGTATAATATAAAATAATAATGGAATTGGTTGTTCAATTAATTCTGTAGAAGATTTTTGATTATTTAGTAAGTTTTTAGCATTACTATCATTGTTATTCTTAAGAATCAATGATTTAATATTTACAGTTGGTTTAATTTGTAATGTTTGACATAGAAATTGTCTAGGTAGATTATGTAAATTACCATGACCAGATTCCTGACGAAAAACAGATTCTGTAAATGATAAACTGAGAAATAGAGAAATCAAGAAAACAATAAAAATGTATTCAGCATTATAAGCATATTTAAACGGTGAAAAATGTTCTTTTTTTTACTCAAAAGAAAAGAAAATATTTAATATTTTGAGATAGTGGAGAAGATTTATAGCTCAGGTGGGTGATTTTGATGTAGGTTTGTTCTCTGAGTTGGATGTTTTGACCATGGAGCTTTCATCGTCCTTCTGAACGACATCATTAGCACAAACTTCGGGTAGAAGTGAAGTGTTTGAATTTCTCCACATGTGATTCACAGCTTGTCCTGTGCATCTCGATCAGCAATAAACAAGCACATTGAAATCTATCTAATTTATCAACCAATCAAGAAAATTATACAGAAAAATAGGAACAAATATCAAACCAATAAGAGATACAACCAAAACAAAGAAATAAACAATGACAGTTTATATAAGAACTTTCGTCTAAACTAGAGAGAATAGTTTCACAGTATTTGGGCGCCGAGTTGATGTAAGACATTAATTAGGAATAATATATTTGTAATATCTCAGCGAATGAATTTGTAGTAAATTCTGTTCTGAAAATATGGATATGTGGGGACATCATGAACGTAGTAACACCAATACATCATAAAAGAATGACAGGTTTAAGGTCAATAAGAACCAATCAACATCGAGGTGTACAGGAAAAGCTGTGAATCACATGTGGATAAATTCAAACACTTCACTTATACCTGAAGTTTGTGCTAATGATGTCGTTCAGAAGGACGATGAAAGCTCCACGACCAAACCATCGAGCTCAGAGAACAAGCCTTCATCAAAAACATTTGATATATTGACTTCATTTACTTGATTCTTTAAATATGTAAAGTGGTTTGTGATAGATGATTTGATACCCCAGACCTAGGTTTCGTGCTAGTTGGTTTATCATAAGAAGGATATTCTTCGTTTTTGATTGAATTGACGCTTTTCATAAAATTTGGGCTCGTCATTCAGTTTGACAGTCAGAGAAATTACCACTGAACTATTCATGACCACAACTGACGTGCTGTATAATTGTGATTTTTACACCGATGGATTATTGACTAGTGACCATGGTTACAATGTTATAGTCTTTAGTGTTAATTGAATTCTCCCAATCAAGGTGAATCGACTTCATATGTGAAGATTAGTAATGTAACTCGACTGAAAATCAAGTGATTTACAACTACTAAGCTACTGTGTTCCTTTCTATTAAAAAAAAGATACATACATTTTGAGCGAATTTCAGACAAAGGTGGATTTTAGGGGATGAATATGTGGAGACATCATGAACGTAGTATCACTAATACATCATAAAACAGCACACACACGATAGTTTTAAAATTTTGGCACCGGTGATTTGATGACACCTGAATAAACAGCGTGGCAACTTGTTTACGTAATCAATCGCCAAATCTCAACCAAACGGATTTCAGAACATATATCTGCTGGCCAATTAACTGAGTAAGCAAATATATTAGATTATCAAAATTGTTATGTGTCCACAAAATGTTCAACTAAGATCAAATCCTACAAGAGTCGTTAGATGTAATGGGATTGTGTTCACACATTTCAGAGTGTGTGCTGACGATGTTATATAGAAAAACGCTTATTTATGATAAAAGAGTATAGAGAATATAACATTAAAAAGCATGTATAGGTAGTGTTTTCAACGTTACTTTTCAAAGTTTAAATATTCAATTATTAATTCATTAATTAATAATTTGATATTTGAATGTGTATCTGAAGTAGGAGATGTTTTCAATTCAGGTGATTGATTTCTTATTTTATTAAAAATTTTCTTCAGTATGTCAGCTTTAATTTCACTTAAAAATCCATCATCATCCAGGGTTGTTCTCAGATAACGCTTTAAGTCATCATTGGAGGCCGTTTCCATGGAAATGAGATCAAATTAGTTAAATCTAAAATAAAGATTTGTAAAAATAAAAGTTAGCTTATAGTAGTAATAAAAGTGACAACAATTAGTGCTAAACTACTTTTGACTACAGGTTCAAACAGATTTGACTTGAAATTATTTTGTTGAGAGAAATTGAAAAATAGCGGTTACTTGTGACTAAAAAAACAACAATACTGATTGTTCGGAAAATAGGGTTTACACATTGCATATTAGATTTACAGGAACATTTTGATCAAAGTTGAGATTACAAGTAGGTTGGTTTGCGCAAGAGAATTGTCCTTTTCCTTCTTCTTACTTAGATGATATGTACTTCCTTTATTTTGCTCACCAAGTCCTTTTTCATAATCAGTATTACATGAATTATGACATTAGCTCTCCATTGCTACAAACCTGTCTCTATTTGATTCTCAGCTTTCTGTATTGGTGGGCTCCAGTATCCTGATGGAACGAATGGCGAATGAACCTGCTGTTGGTCACCGGCTACCATGGGACTGCATCTCCTCACGATGCTCCACTGCCTTGTGGATCAGTCCTTTAGGTCAAAGGCTCGGGGTGTGGCCCCCTAAGAAAACCACCTACTTCGGTTTGGGCACCCGGGCAGTATCACAGTCCTGACACAAATAAATGAAATGATGAATTCTATTGATGATACTATTCCCGCTCATATTAGAAGCAAGACAATTTACACTATTATTATTATTATTACCATTATTATTATTACTATTATTTACTACGTCGCTTTTTCACTCCCTTTATTCCCAAATTGTGTATCCTTCTTTTCCAACTTATGCAGTAGCTCGCCCATGGTGGAAACTCTGTCCTATCTAAACGATCTCCAGTCACTGTCTGGTTGAAAGTGAATGCTTCCACCGATTACGAATACTGGAGCAATCTTTCTGAAACCACGTACGCCGTTCAAGCTGGCTTCCTTCAACGTTCGCACACTAATGCAGATCGGACAACAGATGGGGCTGGCTATGTCTTTAGAAAGTCTTAATGTTGATGTTTGCTGTCTATCCGAGACCCGTATTCAAGACTCTAGTGAAGTACTACAAATTCGCTCTCCATCTGTCGCTTCGAAAAGCTTGTTTCACGTGCGCTTATCCGGGGACTCTGTGGCATCTTCGTCTGGTCTTGCAGGCGCTGGTGTTACACTAAGCGCTAGAGCTGAGGCAGCACTAATCGATTGGATCCCCATTAACAGTCGGTTATGTGCTGTCAGATTAGAAGGTTCCATCAAAGTGAGAAGAAACCGGCGTGAGAAACGGTGTCTTTTCGTCATCTCCGCCTATGCCCCGACAGATTGCAGCCCGGATGCAATCAAGGATGAGTTTTACCACCAGTTAACAGTTCTTCTCCAGAAAGCGCGTTCGACAGATATTGTAGTATTAGCCGGAGACTTGAATGCTCAGGTCGGGCGTCTAGGCACAGAAGAGAGTCGTTTAGGTGGCCGATGGGGTCTTGTTGGTCGCAGGACAGATAACGAGGACCGTTTGCTGCAACTGTGCACAGACCACAACCTGTTTCTGGCTAGCACTAACTTCCGGCACAGTCATCACCGGTGTGCCATCTGGCGTTCTCCCTCTGCATCTCAAGCCTGAACTCAGATTGATCACATCGCGATCAGCTACCGCTGGCGTGGTTGTGTACAAGACTGCCGTTCCTTTTGGAGTACCTATCTGGAGTCTGATCATGCCCTGGTCTGCGCCAATCTCACCTTAATTTTCAGTGGCCGAAGGATTGACCACCATCAACGGATCGATGTTAGTAAACTGGCTGCAACATCTGTTGCAAGTAAGTATCGAGCGGAGCTAGCCTCTAGGCTAGCTACCATCCCACCGAAAAGTATAGATGAGCATTGGTTGCATCTTCACGACGCCATGAAGATGGCGAGTAAAGCCGCTTGCGGCTTCGCGAAACGTCCCGCTTACAAGCACTGGGTTTCTTCTGGCTCCTTACAACTGATGGAAGCCCGTCAGTCTACTCCGGGTGACCGTGAGTTTGACCACAAACGAAGGCTGTTACGTAGTGAAATTGGGAAAAGCTTGGGTAAGGACAGAGAAGCCTAGTGGTCGATGCGTGCTAATGAGATGGAAGCAGCAGCTGCATCTAGTAACTGCCGGAAGCTCTTCCAACTCATCCGAGCCACTGGCAGCAAGAAGTCTGGTGTGAGTGAAACAATCTACGAGGATGATGGGATGCCAATCACTAACATCTGTCAACGTCTTGGACGATGGGCGGAATTTTTCGAAGGGCAGTTCAACTGGCCTGCTGCTCCGGCAACATCAATCAGCTTGTCCTGCCCCCCATGGCCGGTGACGACTGATCCACCAAACGAGGCGGAAGTCCGCAAGGAACTCCAACTCTTGAAGCGCTACAAACTACCGGGCTCAGATGACTTACCTCCGGCTCTTTTTAAAGATGGTGATGACTTTCTGGATAAGGAACTGACGGTGTTGTCTGCAAAGGTTTGGGAGCAAGAAAGTGTTCCAACATCATGGAATGAGTCGATAGTCGTCCCTATCTTTAAAAAGGGTTCACGTTGTTCCTGTAACAACTATCGGGGGATAAGTCTGCTTCCGATTGCGTCCAAACTATTGGCTTCTGTCATTCTTCGTAGGTTGTTTAAAACCCGAGAACGATTGACTCGCGAGGAGCAGGCTGGTTTTCGTTCTGGTCGAGGATGCATTGATCACATCTTCACCCTCCGCCAAATGTTAGAACACCGTCATACTTATCACAGGCCCACAATCGTAATGTCTTTGATATCAGGGCGGCCTTCGATTCGTTGGACAGGACTGTTCTCTGGGATTGTCTATTGAAGAAGGGTGTGCCTGAGAAGTTCATTAACATCTTAAAGGCCCTGTATACGAACACCTAAGGCAGAGTGAGGGCATACAACCACCTTTCTCCCTTGTTTCATTCGAGCAGTGGGGTTAGACAGGGTTGCCCGATCTCACCATTCCTCTTCAACTTCGCCATCGACGACATCCTGGAAAAAGCTCTGATGGATGTAAGTAATAGCGGTGTGGATACGTGGCCTGGAGAACGACTTCTCGACCTCGAGTATGCGGATGATATTGTATTACTGTGCGATAATGCCCAAGGCATGCAATCAGCACTTAATCAGTTGGCAATCAGTGTCCGCAGGTACGGCATGTGCTTTGCACCCTCCAAGTGCAAAGTGCTCCTACAAGACTGGCAGGATTCTCATCCTGCAGTCACCCTGAATGGTGAGCAGATTGAAGTAGTTGAGAAGTTCGTGTATCTAGGTAGCTATATAAGTGCCGGTGGTGGCGTGAGTGGTGAGATTGATGCACGTATAATGAAAGCCAGAGCGGCTTATGCCAATCTGGGCCATCTTTGGCGCCTTCGTGATATTAGTCTGGCTGTAAAAGGTCGGATTTACAACGCGTCAGTGAGAGCAGTTTTGCTCTATGCTTGTGAAACCTGGCCTCTCCGAGTTGAGGATGTTAGACGTCTCTCTGTGTTCGATCATCGTTGTCTCCGAAGGATTGCTGACATCCAGTGGCAACACCATGTTAGTAATGCAGAGGTTCGGCATCGTGTGTTCGGGCGCAGAGACGATATTTCAATTGGTGTCACCATCTTGAAACACCGACTTTGGTGGCTTGGACATGTTTTACGAATGTCGTCCCAGAGACTTCCACGTCGTGCATTATTTGCCGACTCTGGGACTGGTTGGAAAAAGCGGAGAGGAGGTCAGTGTATGACATGGTGTCGTGGCATGAAAGAAAGCTGCAAAGGGCTAGCTTCTGTTGGTCCTTCACGACTCCCTGGCTGGGGTCCGAGAGATGGTGCAACACAGTGGCTAGAGACGTTATCAGATATGGCTCAGAAAAGAAGTCAGTGGTAATCCTGCTGCAACCTTCTTTTACTTTCTACATAAAGAGTGGTTCTAACTTTCTTAACTGAAAGAGTCTTCTGGATGTACATTTCAGTACGCCTTATGTTTTCATCCCTTCTCTTCCTACTTTCATTATTTTGTGTGGCGCATATGTATCTGGTGCCCTATTGTACCAATATATATGTGTTTAAATAAACAAATAATTTCTGTATTGAAAATAAATCTACATACGATCAATTATATGGATAATCTTCATATATTTTTGATGTCTGTATTTGATTTCATAATCTATGAAAAAGCGGATCACTGGGGTTTTATTCAATAAGTAGTTTAAAGTTTTATTGCAGCCATTTAGTAGATGGGTCAGAAGTGCTAGAATAAACCATTCATTAACAAATCTCTTTTGGAGAACTGTTATACGATAACTAACCAGATTGTTAAAAGGATTTCTGGCATTCTTATGTATTTTGAAGGTTTAAGATGCTTCATTTAGAGATAGTAAACATTCCTAATCAGTTTTCAGCTGTTGAGTTGATCTATTTTTAGCAATGTGAATGGCTAAAAATTGTAGTTAGGGATTTTTGTGATGCACACATTAACTTTGGGGATGTCAGGCGTCTTATATACAATTTCACGCTTCAAAAGAGTTCGACAGTAAAATCCAGATAGAAATCTGCACAAAGATTTTGAAAGTGAAAGTTAGTGAACCCCAGATGGTTTAAGTAAACAGATGTAGCCACTGATTCTCTTGGATTGCTGTGTCCCAAGAAGTGATCCCAGAAACTTAACGCCCTCGCAAAGACCTTTAAAATAGGTAGACTCTTAGATAACGTTTATTTAAGTATCCGAATCATGTGAATCCAATTGAAGGTTATCAAGTCCAACAGTTGTCAAGGTTTTTGATAAGATAATAAATTTATTCTCTTGGACTACGTCATCAAAGCCGATTCCACTATTACCTGCGCAAATGACTAGATATGCTGATATTAAACATCTTGTCCATCGTTTTCGAAAGGAACATCAGACAACTCATTGGTGGGGTAAAATGTAGAGGATTCCTCTGTACTTAATAAGCCATTATATCTTTGAAAAAACTTATAGACAGTAAGCA